CAACCCTGCTATTATAACAGAACACAACAAAATACCACAGGCAGGCTGAGCTGGGAACAAAAAGCGGCTCCAACAAAAACAAGACAAACACAAGACACAACATCCTGGCACATTTATATGAAAAGTGCCCACAGGGCAACGGTCATGGCACGTCAACAAGCAGACCGTGAACCCGGGGCGCTTGGAGGTTCGGGCGGTTGCTACTTCTGGCCACGTCTTCTGGGCTCTGCTGCAGGAACGGGGAGGGGGGAGGGGGTGTCTGAGGGCTCGGCAGGACCCCTCGGTCCATTATGGAAGTTCAGGTCATCGGCTGGATGTGCTTTTGGTTGGGAAGACGGCGCCGACTCCTTCCTCCCTGCCAGAGAGGGGGGCATGGGGGTGCGGGAGGAGCGGACAGCTCCCCATGCCCACGGGATCTGCCCTCTCTAGAAAGAGGGCCCTCCGCTCGAGTCCACGGCCCAGGAGCCAACGCGCTGCGTTCACATGGCGTAAAGCCCCATGGCAACCGTTGCCACCAGAAAGCTGAGTGTGAGGACCCATCGGATGAGTGGTGCCTGGGAGAAGACACTGGGCTTCCCTCTGGGGGTCTCCGTGGGCGTCAAGCCTGAAAGAGAAAAGGGGTTCATGTCAACAACAGGTAGACAGAGGTGGGGTTTCTGAGTTCACAGAAACACAGCAGAGGGGTGTCAGCAGTCTCCAGTACAGTCCCCCTCAATGCCAGGATTCTGCTAGAACACAAACAAGTGGCCCTCTAGCCACTGCTTGAATACCTCCAAAGACAGGGGGCTCACTACCCCTCCGAGCTGTCTATTATTGCCCTTTCAACCAGCTGACACTGTGAGACCATGCCCTCCAGGGGTACTCCAAGGGAGCACACTTTGAGAACTGGTGCCTTAAGGCAATGTCGCCTCATCCCACCAGGCGGCCAATCCCATAGGGCAGGGGTCCTCAAACTACAGCCCGCGGGCCACATGCAAATACAAATATTGTATTTGTTCCCGTTTTGTTTTTTTACTTCAAAATAAGATATGTGCAGTGTGCATAGGAACTTGTTCATAGTTTTTTTTTTAAACTATAGTCCGGCCCTCCAACGGTCTGAGGGACAGTGAACTGGCCCCCTATTTAAAAAGTTTGAGGACCCCTGCCATAGGGACTGGCATGTTCCAACGCTTCCAGGCACAGGTCCAACAGAGGGGTCCAACGTGGGAAAGCCACAGGGCAGGTGGGTTAGGGTGGCACCAAGCAGGCGGTGAGCTTCCCCTGAGCCTCCGAGGCACACGAGGGACTAACACGCAGCAAGACCCCAAGGTTACGTGTCTCCCTAGCATCCCAGGGCAGGGTAACAGCTGGGAGTGGTCGCAGACTCCCCGCCCCCACAACAGGGGTCTCTGTTCAGGAATCATTACAGGGCCTCAAAGGAACCCAAATCAACGGAGGAAGGCTTTGCCCCTGACAGCGGAGGGTCCTCTGTGTGCAAGTCCCCACTTCAGAGCCAATGAACTAGAACTAACTCAACTGCCCTTGGTTTCAGGGATGGGGAGACTGAGGTTGGGGGAGCTTACACGGCTTGCCCAGCGTCACACACCGAAGGCTGACCTCTTGCCCTGTGGCCTGCACCCCACTTTTTATTTAAAACATTCAGAAGACGGAAGAGTCTAGAGATACCGGAGCCCAGAGACGCCGCTGCCCGGAGGCCCTCACCTTGCGTCCCGCTGCCGGCCCGCCGGCGAAGGCCTGGCTGCGAGGGGCTCTGGTCCTCAGCGTTCCGGGGCAGCAGCTCCTGCAGCTCCTCAAACAGCTGGAAGACAGAAGACGCGTGTCAGTGAGGGATGGCACTAGCCCAGCTGCCGGGGGATTGGGAATCTTGCTAGGAAATATTGAGGACAAAACCCCTAAGAAAAACATCGACTGTTCGTGTACCTTTCCTCCAGCTTAAGAGATAAGATGTCACAAGTGCATTTCACTCGCTTGCCTGCCTGCTCTTCTCCAAATGCCCCCCAATACCCACCCTGGACCGAGGGTGCCCTGTCGCCATTCAGGGCCTTCGTGTCTCTATGCGGAGCACTGTTTCGAGCGTGGTGCCGTGTCTATGCCGCCTGCTTTCCTCACGACTCAGTGTGTCCCCCTGGGAAAGCTTGTTTCACGGGGGTGTTCGCAACGAGGAAGCCGCAGCTCCTACAGGTAAAGTGCCCGGACCCAGGCTAACCAAGGGGTCAGAGGGCAAGAGCCAGCCCTCCGACGGGCTTTGGCTAAAAATCCCATCCTTCTCCAACCCTTCTCTCTGAGAGACATGGATTTCCTTGGAGGATCCACTGGCCAGGTTTGGTTTGCTGTTCGGGGGACTGCAAGGAGGAGCAGGGAGCCCGGAGACCATGAGCTAGAAGTCCCGTCCCCAGAGCGCCTCCAGGTGGGGGAGAGCGACAGGACTGTTCAACATCCAGGCCAGGAGGAACCTCACCCCCCCAACTCGGGACACCCCCCACCTCAGTGTCCACAAACCCCTCCTGCCAGGCTTTCCTCAAAACCCACCTTCCCCGGGACTTGAGGCACTTCCTGGCTGGGCGGAGAGGCCCCAGGTCAGAGGCCACATCTGGGGCACCTATAACCTCTGCAGTGCCAACCTGGCAACACTCAACTTGAGTGTGTCAGAGTCCTACAACTGTGACGCTCATGCCCCCACGATACCCCCACGATGCCCCCACGAGAACAGCAGCTAACATCAGAGGGCTGCCCCTGCGCCAGGCCCCACAATGGCGACTTTACTGGTATAAACCCTCACAACTCTAAGAGGCAGGCACAATAACCCACTCATTTTACAGATGGGGAAACTGAGCTGGGGATTAAGGGACTTGCCTAAGATCACGTAGCCACTAAGTAAGTGGCAGAACTAGAACCCAGGCTTCCGAGTCTGGTAACTCTCTACCCTCCAAAATCGCGCCACCCCCGCCCGCACCCCCACCTCCGATATAACAGAGGAGCAACAAACTGGAGTCAAGCCCTGGGCCGTCAGACCCTCACCTGAATGTTGAGCAGGAAGGCGGTCTTGGCCTCTTCGATGATCCTCCCCTTGACCTCAGGGGTCATCTCCAGAGAGTTCATGCGGGAGCGGTACAGCTGCTTGAACTTGGTGGCACTGTCGATGTTGGGGAAGGTGAAGAAGGCCAGGCCCTCGCCAGAGCTGGGCAGGTCCAAGGCCTTCTGGGCAATCTTCTTGAGCACCTGGCCCCCCGACAGGTCGCCCAGGTAGCGGGTGTAGGCGTGGGCCACCAGCAGCTCGGGCTGCCTGTGCCCCACCTCTTGGAGTCGCTGCACGTAGTGCCTGGTGGCCTGTGTGTAGGGGATGGTCTCCTGCCAGCGGGGCCCGTACCAGAAGGTCAAGTCCTGCTCCAGGGCCGCCCTGCGATGCAGCTCTTCCGGGAAGTAGAGGGGGGCGTAGACCGGGTTCTCCTTGTTGCGCTCAATCTCCTCCTCCAGGGCCTTGTAGATGTGATACAAGGAGGCCATCACCAGCTGAAACCAGAGAGAGCAGGTCAGGACCCCCATCCCAACAGCAGCCCCCATCCCCTCCCCAGGCTGGGCTCCCACCTCCTGCCTGCCCCTCCGACTTCCCCACACGGATCACACACAAAAAACTGATAACACACTTCCTGAGCCTAAAGCCTTTTTACCCCCCTGGGTAAACACATGGCCTCACTTAATCCTCACAAAAACACAGGAGTTGCTATCCCCATTTTACAGAAAAGCAAACTAAGGCTCAGAGAGGATATGAGATGTTGAGGTTGCACAGCCGGTAAGAAATGACACTGGAATCAAGCCCAGATGCTGCTAGGAAGCCATGGTGGCTCTGAACAAGGGGATGCCTGAATGAAAGCCCGTACAAGGGACGCAGGTGCCTCTACCTTTGACCTCTGGGTGGCCGGCTGCAGGGCCCCATTCTCCCTCCTGGAGGCCCACTCCGAACCCCACCACCTCTGGCTGCTGGGCTGGGGTGACACGCCCAGTGTACCGTGGCTGGGGAATTCCTGTTACACATAATACTCTAGCTGTGTGACCATGGGTGAGCCACTCTCCCTCTCTGGGAGATCCGAGGTCCGAGTGACTGCAAGTCAGGCCTTGGTCCCCAGCCCCTGCAAAGGGAATAATCCTAAACCATGGAGCAGGACGACACAGGTAAGCACTAGGCGCAGCCTGGCACGCAGGTGCAGCCTGGCACTCAGCACTGGAATCGGAGGCCATGGTGTTGCATGCCACCTCCTTCAGCATACCCTACTCGAGCACTGGGTCCTCTCACGGACTTCGTGCCCACTTTGAACTCAGTGGCTTAGCGGTAAGACTGAACTCTCCGAGGGGTGGGGGGCGCTGCGGGTGGGGTATTCCAGCAGTCACTCCCTGCTCCCGCTGCCCCAGCCACTTAACAGCAACTGGGTGTAAGTCATCTTTTTGAGGCGGAAAGAGGAAGACAAGGAAGAGGGAACAAGGGCTAGAGCCAACACCCACAGGATGGAGGCAAGGGCCCCAAGCCACCTACAACTGCTTGTTAAATCCCCCTTCCTTCGCTGGAGCACCTCTGAGGCTGAGAGTGGGGGAAGGCCCAGGTTGCAAAAGGGAGGGGTGCCAGGAGTGGCGGGATAAAGCTCCCCCGCCCTCTATGTTCAGCCTGAACAAGCCCTTCCTCCTGCTGATGCTTTAACACCAGGCACTTGTCTGGTTCTGTCAAGTGCGTCCTATTTGCATGAATTGCACAACTATGCTAGGAAACAGCAAAGTCAGTGTCTAGCATAAAGGGAGTGCTCAAGAAAACCCAATTCACAGCTGAGGGAAAAGTTGCTTAGGGAGGTGAAGGCGAGGTGTCCGCAGTCTTACTGTTAGGAAATGGTGGAGCCAGGGCTCGAACCCATACTGCCCCTTGCCTTCGAGGCAGATTTGAATTAAGTCAGGACACAAGCTCTGAAATGAGACCTACCTTGGTTTGACTTTGGCCTTTCCTATGTACTTACTGGCCGTGTGACCGACCGTCTATTAATTACTTAACCTCTCTGAGCCTTCCCTTCCTTATCTTCCTTTTCAGGGTTGAGGCACAAATTAGATACCAAGTGTGTAAAATGCCCAGCTTGGAAAAGGTGCTCAGTTGATGGCACTACTTGCCCCAGCCCCTCTACAATACTATGTAGCAGGCTATGAATTTGCTGTGTGACCTTGTGCAAGTCACCTCCCCTCTCTGAGCCTCAATGTCATCATCTATAAAACGATCCTCTCAGACATTCCTATCTGGTCCCTCAGCATCCCTAGTCCCAGTCCCACTGAAACACCTGCCTGAGCCTTGGGCACACCCACCCCTGTCATACCCTCCACCAGGACACATACCTTAAAGCCTTCTCGAGTCACCTGGCCCTTCTGGAAGTTCCTCATGAACTCGGCATTCTCTGCCTGGGTGTGCACCTCCTTGGTGGCCTCCTTCAGGGCCTCTGACAAATCTTGGGGCATGCTGCAGAGGGAGGGGAGGGAGGGTGAATAGGGGGTGGCTATGAGCAGGGTTCTACCAGAGGCGGAGCTCTGAGGGTCCCCCGCTTCTCCCCAGAAGTAAGTCCAGCCTCCCATCTATCTAATCCACAGGCCACATTCCCAACTGCCTTAAGATGCAGGCCCATAGCCCTGGCAGGATAGCTCAGGTGGTTAGAGAGTCATCCGGATACGCCAAGGCTGTGGGTTTGATCCACGGTCAGGGCACATACAAGAATCAACCAAGGAATGCATCAATAAGTGGAACAACAAATCAATGTTTCTCCCTTCCCCCCTTCCTCTCGCTCTCAAATCAATCAATAAGTTTAAAAAATGTAAAAAAAAAAAAAAAGATGCAAGCCCATCAACACTCTTCAGTCACTAAGAGACATTGTACTATGGTCCCCAAAACCAAGGGGGAATCCTGGCAGTTATTCTAAGGAAAGGGAAGAGGAGGCAGCACAACCCCGGAAGCGGCAGCAGAGGGCATGGTGAGCGCTGTACTCAGTGTCTGATTGCGCTGATGGGCTTTTAGAGCGAAGATTTAACTCATTTATTTTGTTGAGGTTTCAGGTCCAAATCTCATTACCCCCTATAATATACTCATTATAAAATACTTCCTGTGTTAAAATGCCCGAGTAAAGTTTTGCTTTACTAAAAATAAAATAAAAAGTTTCTTTCTGGGAGTATTTCTGTCGTATGTCTGTATTTGTATTTCCCACAGAATTTCCATTTCTCCTTTCTCTCCAGGAAACAAACACCCCCTGTTCCCTGCATGCAGATCAGATCCTTGGGAGAAGGGAGGGAGCCAGAGGGACAGATGACCAAGGTTCCAATCCCAGCCAGACACCTGCTGGCGGAGAGACCCTGGGCTTGCTGCTTCCTCGGCTGTGAATGGGGACACCGAGGCCACAGCGAGGTGAGAGGGGGGCTCGGCCCAGGGTGGGCCCTGGGAAGCCCACACAGCCAGGCCCCCCGCAGCCCGAGGACCCGCGGTGACCAAGCGGGGCACCTCCGAGCACACGCAAAAGTGCAAATACTAACAACGAAGGTGGACGCCGGAGCAACACTCCCAGGGGTCACCCACGTCCCGCGCCAGGGCGCGGGCATGTTAGTCACCTTCCAGCCTCCAACCAACTCCCGGGTACAGAGAGGATCGGCGCCCAGACCTTCCTCACCCCCAACCCCGGGACCGACCGGCGGCTCAGCGCGTGGCTCCGGTCCCGTCCCGGTCCCCCTCCCAGTGCTTGCCTGTCGGGCTGCGGGCGCTCCATCTGGGCGGCTAGGCTCACTCGGTGCTGGTGCTGGA